TATCTCTCGTCTATGAAGTTGTGTCAGAACTTAGTAAGAAAGTAACCAAGCTTCATATAAAATACTTGTCAGATGAGGATGGTGTGGGAAATCATGATAGTGGTACTGGTGGTAGCAAAGTTGTTGGGCTTAAAAAGAGATATGATAGAAAAATAAGTGGACGAACAAAGAGCAATATTGAAATTGGTCCAAAAAGACAAAAAACTAGAAGCTCTACAAGCCTCACTGTCACTTAAAACTTCAAAGGTATATTTATGATTTATTTAATTTTTGATCAATTTAATTTTTTATTGATTATGTTATTAGATGCTTATTTCTTTCCAAATCTATTAATGGGGCAACAAAATGAATTTGAAAATTCCACTTCATCAATTCAAGTACAACATGATCCTTCACAATCAATGAGAATGCTAAGCCAAGCTTCACAAATGTTAGACCACTCATAACTGAGTCAAATGACTTTTACTAATTTATTGATGGTATGTCATTTAATATTTAACAACACAATCCACTGGTCTATTTATAAACAACTATACATAGTGAGGCATTCTTCTTATTTGTTGATTGTAGGCACCGCTTGAATGCAACATCTTATCTCTTGAAGCATTGAATTTTAGCCAAATATATAACACAGGTAACCATAAAAGATCATGATGATAGAAGAAAACAATTTAGTCACTTTTATTGAAATTTGAATGTTTTTACATAGCATTGTCTTATTTCAAGACAATTTGCAAATACAAAATTACACTTTATTGCTAATACAGGTTCAATGATTGATGATGATCCTCCTATATGAAATATCCATTTCAGCTTATTTTGTTCAGTTCTTTTGTACAGTTTACAACATCTTACAGGCTGCTTTCTTTTTTGGTCAAGCTAACTCATCATTTTGTTCTTATGTAGTGCCCTCTATTTTGATCAATCAAGTTTATCATTTTATTTATTTGAGCTAGCTCTGTTTTTTGGTGAAGTTTGCCCATTATTCTTATAACCTGTTATGCAGCATCAAATTTTGTTGTGCTAAAACATTTCCTTCCTTGTTGCAATTCAAACATCTTGATGTACATCCATGCAGCAAATTAGGTATTGGTTTTGAGTGAATGATGTGAACACAACCTGAAATAATGGAATGCGAAACATATTATTTTATCAGTACATGAGCTTGCTTAAGATTTATCAACATGACCAAATTTCTTCCTTTATGATAATTGTGTATTGTAAGCATTACAATATTAAGCATGCCATGACCTTGATTTTGCATTATTTAAATGCAACTATAGTTGCCCTATCCAATGATAATTTTTTAGGTAAAAAATAATTGTTTATTGTTCTCATTATCATAATAGAACAAGGGGATGTAAAAAGATTCAATACATATTAAACATTGAACTGAGACATTATAATAAAGCTAATTAATTGAGCTCTTTCTACTTTAAGTCCATTAAAATTGTAAAGTGTTCAATTTATATTGTGCTAAATAGTGGTCTATTATACCCTCCCACAATTAGATGCAAGCAGGCAACAGAACAGGCCATATGGATAAAGAGAAGCAAAACAAATATAAGCCTTTAATCATTTACAAACAGTAATCACTAAATTCCTCACATGTCTACCTTTGCTTCCTTTGATATAGTTTCTTTTCATGTGAGCACTACACAAATTATAGTCAATCTCATATTCCAACTTATTCAACTACGGAGAAAAAAATCCCCATGAGATTACTATCCAACATGAACACTCCTCTTTGGTTGTTGAATTGTTCCCATTACATTTATCATCCTTGCATAAAACTTGAACCTATTATCGTCCTCACAATAATATAGCTTGAAAAATAACGAGATGCAACACCCAATTTTGTATGAGAGATGAGTTGCTCATTTAAAATCAATATATATAACATTAGAAATCAGCAGGCTTAGTCTAAAAATTGCATAATTTTATATGCAAATTTTCCAAAAGATACTAGGCTTATTATTTTACGTTCAAGCACTACCAATTAACTCTACATACATTCTCCACAATCATCAAGAAGAATTTCAAACATCCCCCTGCAAAAGACTACAAAATATATGTACTTAGTTATATATATTTAATATATGAAACAAAGTAATGAAATCTAATTGAAGCTCTTGAATGGGCAAGAGAGCAAGATACCTAATTTAGAGTTTCTCCACTTTTGCTTATTAGTGAGATCTAGTCGAAGGATCGATGACTTAAAAATGGGTTGAGCTATTAAGGAACTTTGGGGATTCTTAAATTGAATCAAAAAACCTAATTCAAGCTCTTGAATTGGTGAGAGGGGAAGATGTGCAGTTAAGTCGTTCGCTTTGCTCTCATCCACATGCCAATTTAGGTTGTAGGGGTTGTGTTGTTGAAGAAGGGGCGGTGTTGTTGAAGAACGAACAAGTTTCATGGGCGTGTTGCTGAATAGAAGAAGGAAACATGATTTCATATTAAATGTTGTCATCCAATTAATTTGATTTAGATCTTGCTTTCTCACCAAACGACGTCGTTCCAGGTAATGGACAGTAAGTGGATGGTAAAAGCAAAGGAGGAAAGCTATTCCTGAAAATTTACTCTTCCCCTCTGTTTTTGTGTTTAGCAGAGAGAAGAAAATGTTAGAGAAAGAGTATATAGAATTTGAATTTTGAATTTGAATAGAAAAAAGATTAAAATTAATAGGTTCACTTTTAGGTTATGGAAGTGGATTTGCCCTCTCTCCTATTTTTGTGAGAGGATTTTAACACGGAACCCAACATGCTAATCTCAAATCATAAATTAAAATATTACTGTTCACATAAATAGTAACATAGCATACACATATTTAAGTTATATAGATAGTAGTGTTACCAACAAGAGTTGGTCTAATTGGTAAAGAGTCGACTCATAACCCACACGGTTATGAGTTCGAATCCTTGTTGCTATTATAAGAACCTTATTAATGGGAGATTTATAAATACTTCTGTAAGTGCTCTTTGAGTCTAAAGGCATGCCCTAATAATGATGGGTAAGATGAAGTGAAAATCTACATTATTGGTGTGCTTGATGGAAAACTTTACAGGTCAACATCAATATCAAGGAGGATCCCAAGTACCAAACAAACTCGCATTTGTTTAACATTTGAACCACACAAAAATTAATTCAATTTTGAATATTCTTTCAAACAATATAACTCAGTCTTGATGACGTATGTATGACTCGTTTCTAATGCTCTTGTTAACTCCCACTCTCCAGCCTAGTTTATTATACCATTTCAATTGAGAAATTGTCACAAATATTTCATAAATTTATGAATAACAAAATGTTTTTTAAAAAAATTAGATGGCACTACAAAAAAGTGGAATTTTTTTGTATAAAAGTCATCGCTGAAAGTTTTCAATGGCAACTTGTCGCCGCTGAAAAGTCATTGCCGTAGCGACTGTGGTTGAAAACTTTCAACGGTGATAACAAAGATTGCCACTGAAAGACACTTTCAGCAGCGACCTTATTGTCGCTGCCAAAAGTGACTTTTAGCAGTGGCTTTTTTGTTGCTGCTGAAAGTAATGCTTAAGAAAAATTGGCTTTAATGATGCCATATCATCACTGCCAATGACTGGCCACCTCCACCTCATCGCTACCGGTTGCCACGTCATCACCTACCGAATGCCACGTCATTGTCAGGCACCTCCATGTCGTTGCCATATCACCACTCTCATGCCATGTCAGCCCTCCTTGCCATGTTATCGCCCAAATATTTTCCCCTTAAATGTGTCTTATTCAAGATTCGAACTCATGACCACCTCCTTTCGTGTCCAATCTTCTTGCCGCTGAGCTGGATTGTTTTTTTTTATTATTATAAAACAAAATATATATTATTAGATTATATTTTCAGTAGTGACGTTATAAAGTCGCCGCTGAAAGTTGGACATTCAGCGGGGACACTAAAAAGTTTCCGCTGAATACTTTCAGCGGCAACAAAAAAAGTCGCCATAGAAAGTGGACTTTCAGCGGCAACCTTTTAGTGTTGCTGCTGAAAGTCTTTTTTCGTCACCACTGAAAGTCTTACTTTTAGCGATGACTTTTTATTGTCGCCATTAAAAGTCATCACTTAAAGTCTTTTTTTTTTTTTTTTGATAGTATGGGTTAAGTTTCGGGGGCTCACCTAAGCCAAAACATAACTCCAAACTGAGAGAGCAATTATAAAAATATTTGCAAATCACCTATTATTAAGGTTTTCACATCAACTGCAGAATTCAAAATTACGATCTCATAGGTTAGACAACAAATTTATTGTTTAGTTATTTGCTTTTTACGTTAAATCTCAATTTGATATTTTCATTTTATTAAGTTTCTTTTCTATTCATTATATGCTTTTATAATATTTCTTCTCTTTTTTAGATACTAGTATTAACTTGTTTAACTCAAAACACTTTGTATTAAAATTAACTTTTTATGATAACCTAATAACCTTATTATTCCTACCAAACAAATAAATAATAATATTGTTATGTTTTTAACTCCCAAAATCGTTAGTTATTTCTGTTGTTATTATTGTCATTTGATCTAGTATTGTCCAAAAACACTCTTTCAACTTATCCAATAGTATGCAATACTACAAATATGAGTTTTTCAAAATATAAAAAAATAAGTTAAAAGAAACAAGAAATATTATAAATTTTGACAAAATTTTTATGAATAAAATAAGGAAAAAATTTTAGGCCAGATTGCTTAATTTATATATATATAAAAAATTTATGTGAACATTTTATTAATTAAATATTATTTGTTTAACTTGTTTATATATACATGTGTGTGTTTGTTATCTCAGTATCCTTCATTAAGCCAATAAATATTTTTCAACTAAGACATATTTGTTATATTATATCTTTCTCTAAGAGATATACCAATAAAATTAAAATCGAAATAAACTGTGGATTCTTAAAATTAAAACATATGATTCTGCACTTCTACAACATTATTCATAAAAAAAAGGGCAATAATATTATATAAATTCTCAGGGGCCATGTTGATTATTAAACGAAAATGTTGGTTGAAAACACTAATTCTTTATACTCCTTGCGACTACTGTGCCAATATTTTTAAAGACCATGGTTTGCTGTTGTACTTGTCCCCATTAAAAAAAAAAAACAGAGCCCAGGAAGCATCCTATTTGAGGATTTTTAGCGAGAACGTGGACCAGGACTTTTGTCTGACTCAACACGCTCTCACTAACTTTTTAGAACATGTGGAACCCTTCAAATGGAATTAGTCTATGGTCGTCACTACTATTCTAACAAACCGCGTTTTCTTTCCTTGGCTTTTTCATATGAATCTCTTGGCATTTGCTCTTCACCCAAATACCAGTTTCTTCTTCTTCTTCATCATGGTGAAAGTGTTATCAGGTGGTCATTTCAATGGCTTCGATTCTTAACCCCAGTTTCTGCCGCCGCCTGTTATTAATTCTCTTGTACTTCGTTTCTTCTTTTCTCGCCATCAATTCACTTTCAAGTAGTGTTTCCATTTCTGGAAATTCCAGCCACACATTAATCTGTGCCTTGCAGAGTACCAATCGGCTCCAAGGACAAAAATCATTCCTCAACTGTACCAGTTTTCCCACTGGCATTAAAATTCAAGTGAACCCCAACATTTCCTTCTCTGAGATTGCAGGAGGGAATGGGTTTGTCTGTGCATTGAGGCCTCAGATGGGTTCTTCTTCTTCTTCTTCTTCTGTCATGTTTTGCTGGAGATTCTCTACCAATGAGACAAATGTTGCCCCCAAGCGCATTTACCATGGACCTATGATTCAAAATTTGGAAGCAGGAAACTCCCAAATCTGTGGCCTTTCAAGCTCCAACAATGGCCTTAACTGCTGGCAATGGCCTGGGTTCAACACACGTAATGTGAAAGGCTTCTCGAGTATATCTGTGGGAGAGAATTTCGTCTGTGGGTTATCGGAAACATCTGGGAATATTAATTGCCGGGGAAATAAGAGCATAATTGGAGATGAACCCAAAGGGAATTACTCTGTGATTGCTGCAGGGACGAGATATGCCTGTGCTATCTCGTCCAATAATGGAAGTTTGCACTGTTGGGGTGACGTACCAAAAGCCGCAATGACGCCTCAAGGGAGATTCATCTCTTTGGCTTTGGGAGATAATCGGAGTTGCGCTTTGAGGGCTGTGAACAGAACAGTTGATTGTTGGGGGACGGATGGTTTCAGCACGCCAGAGAGCTTCAGAAACACATCTTTTGAAGCAATCACAGCTAAAGGAAGTGTTTTCTGTGGTGTTATGTCTAATGATTATTCTTTGCATTGTTGGGGAAATGATAATTTGGGCATGAACGGGACTGCTCATAAGGTGTTTGATGAAGTCCTACCTGGTCCTTGTAGAACTGACTGTTCATGTGGACCATTGCCAGGTTCTGCACAGTTTTGTGATCTTGGTCGATCTATTTGCAGTTTTTGTGACAACCAACTACTGGAATCCCAGCCGCCGCTGCCGCCGAGTGCTTCTTCACAGTCAAGACAAAGTAATTGGAGCAGCAAAATGGTGGCATTTCTAGTGGTTGGCTGTGTTGGCTCCGTTTCTTTGATGCTAGTGTTGGCATTCTTTGTCTACAGGTATTGCAAAGGCCGAGGATGCAGGCGTGTGCACGACTCTGGCCGGTTGGATGAGCCAGAAGATCAACCAGCAATCCAACCAACTTTAGAGAAGAGATTGAGCCACATGATTAGCATGGGAAATGGAGGCCATTTGGAGGAATTTTCCTGGCAAATACTATTAGAAGCAACCAACAATTTCTCAGAAGATCAAAAAATAGGAACGGGCAGTTTTGGTTCAGTCTACCATGCCACACTCAAAGATGGTAAAGAAGTGGCCATCAAAAGAGCTGAGATCTCACCCACCTCCCCGTCAGACAAAATCATAGGAGGCTCCAGGCGTCAAGAAGACAAAGACGATGCTTTTGTCAACGAACTCGAATCTTTATCAAGACTTAACCATAAGAACCTGGTGAGATTACTAGGTTTCTTCGAGGACAACAATGAGAGAATCCTAGTCTACGATTTTATGACTAATGGCAGCCTAACCGACCATCTTCACAAACTCCACACTTCAACTTCAAATCCAAATTCTCCTCTCATGTCATGGTCAGGACGCATCAAAGTAGCTCTAGACGCAGCCAGAGGAATAGAATACCTACACAAATATGCAATTCCACCAATCATTCATCGTGATATCAAATCAGCAAACATACTATTAGACTCCAAATGGACAGCCAAAGTATCAGATTTTGGACTCTCCCTAATGGGCCCAGAAGACGAAGAGTCACACCTTTCTCTTCTAGCCGCAGGCACAGTAGGGTACATGGATCCAGAGTACTACAGGCTGCAACACTTAACCACAAAGAGCGATGTGTACAGTTTTGGTGTGGTTTTGCTAGAATTGCTTTGTGGGTATAAAGCTATACACAGGAACGAGAATGGCACGCCTAGGAATGTGGTGGATTTTGTGGTGCCGTATATTGAGCAGGATGAGATTCATAGGGTTTTGGATCGGAGGTTGCCTCCACCAACACCGTATGAGATCGAGGCAGTGGCGTTTGTGGGATATTTGGCTGCGGATTGTGTGAGATTTGAAGGACGGGAAAGGCCCACAATGACAGACGTTGTAAATAAGTTGGAAATAGCGTTGGATGCCTGTTTAGCTCAACCAAAACCAACAATTTCTCGCTTTAACTCTGGTTCTGATTCAGATTAGTTGAATTGAATTTTTTTCCCCCTCTTTCACCATTTTGTCTTTTCCTTCCCATTCATTTTTTCTTTTTTCTTTTTTTATGTACAGAAGGCAAATTATTAACAGTAACACGGAGTCACCGACACAACTTTTTTTAATTTTGCTTCATTTTGTACTGAATATGAAGATTTTGCTTTGCCTTTTGCGTTTGATTTAAATAAGAAGGGAAAGAGGATTAAGGAGCTAGTTTGTATAGTCCAAAATATATGAAAAAATATATTTTTTTTATTAATTGGAAAACAAGTTTACAGATTTTTATTAAATTTACAAACATATTTTTTAATAAGAAAAATGGATACTGTCACCGGATAAAAAGTCAAGTGGTTCACATTCCGCACAAGGTACGCAAAAAAAAAAAAAAAAAAGGGGACAAAAACAACAACAAAAAAAGCGAAAAGGTCAGAGGAAATATTTTAGGGAAAATTGCAATTAGGTCCCACTCAAGGGAATTAAATGCAAAAAGGTCCCTTGAAATCATGAAATTATTCTGAAGTCTCAAGGGACCCTTTTGCAATAAATTTTATTTGTTTAATTACCAAATTACCCTTCTTTTTTTTTTAAACTTTGTATTGACAACTGAAAGAGCAGTGGTTGACAACTCAGGGTGCAAGGATTGACAGCTATCGCGGCTGGTTTGACAACTTATGGTGTGATATGCTGAGAAAGTGTGTTGTCAAACCAGCCGCGATAGCTGTCAATCCTTGCACCCTGAGTTGTCAACCACTGTTCTTTCAGTTGTCAATACAAAGTTTTTTTAAAAAAAAAAGAAGGGTAATTTGGTAATTAAACAAATAAAATTCATTGTAAAAAGGTCCCTTGGGACTTTAAAATAATTTTATGATTTCAATGGACCTTTTTGCATTTAATTCCCTTGAGTGGGACCTAATTGCCATTTTCCCAATATTTTAGCGTTGTAACTATTGATCTAAGTTCTCTAAGATAATAAAGTACTGTGAGATATTTTAGTATTATTATAAATTATTTAGGTATTTAATTAGGAATTAATAAAATATCCTGAGTGTGGTCTGTGGTCAGAAAAAGGGCCCAAGCCTAGTAGGGTTTTTATTTTTAGTCAGGATTATATTTCTCTGATGGTGAGAATTTAATTATTAGGTTTTGATGGCTGAAAGAAAAAAACAGAGCGATACATTCAGAAACAGTTAACCCTATCTTCTCCTTGAGGTTCCTTGACTGGTGACGGCTGAACCCGGTTACCATCACTGTGCCTATCTGTTAGTCAAAAGAGACCTGAATCAATTTCCTTCTGACTCTTATCTATCTTGCAGCTCTCAGATTAATTAAGCAATAACTATGGTGAGAGGTAACTATAATCTTAAAGTCCTCCGCTGTATGTTTTATAAGAGGATTCATTTTGTATTATTTGGATTGAATATATTTTATATATGTTATTTTGAATCTGTCTTACATATGGTATCAAAGCCAGGTTAGGTTCTACTATGCCTACTTTGTTCAATTTAATGTGGTTTGTTTTTATCTGGGATGATCTGACTCCATATGGAATAAAAGAATTTATCATATTTTTTATCGATTCCATATGGGATGATTAGAGATACTTATCTGCACCATCATTTATCTTCATACTGTATTGGTTCTTGCTTTTGATACATGCATATTTTGGATTAGAATAATGAGAGGAGAATTTTATTTAAGCTCTCCGATGACTATCTCTTCCCGTTTGTTGTTTTCAAAAACACATCTTTTGAAACTTGAACAGGCCAAACCGAACACTGATTTTCTTGCCTGAAAGCATAAATTTTGATTCAATTTTGGTTCTTTTACCTATTGTTACTATTTGAATGTATGTTTGGTGTTGTTTTTAAGCATTACGTGGTCGAAAACGTCGATTTTTGCTTCAAAATTCGAATTTTTATTTGCATTTAGGATCCCTGTTTCATCTGAAATATGTTTGAATGGTTGCCATATTATTTTCTGGGCATTATTGTGTGAAAATCGTGCCCAAAAAGTCAGAAAATAGCCCCTTTGCTGTTGGAAATAGACCAGAGCAGCCGAAAAAAATGGTAGTTTCTGGCAGTTGTGAAGGACCGTCGAACCAAGTCGTGGCGTGAGGCGGGTCGGGTAGGTCAACCCGCCTCGCTAGGAAGAAGGCTGAAACGGTGCGTTTTGGCTTGTGCCAAAACGACGTCGTTTCATCCACACAGGATGAGTCTCTGTTGCTGGTTCGAAACGGCGTCGTTTCGGCCTAGACTGAAATGCACCGTTTCACTTATTCAGGTAATGGGCCGAACGACTTTGGTCCAAGATTTGGGCTTTTTTTTTTAAAAAAGATGGTTTTGTTTGATTCTGTGTTTTGGGCTAAAAAGTTCTGGGCTTTTGGTTCATTTTTTTCCTGCTCTTTCCTCAGTCTGGGCCTCTTCTGTAACATCCTGAGTTTTATCGGGTTTTAATAGCCTCTTTTTGATTGATTTTGAGGATAGATTAGTGAATTAATGTTGATCTTAGTGTTTGGATTGGATTTGAGGCATGTTGGAGGAATAGGTGAACAAACCCCTCTCAGGGTATGTTCGCCGCGGCGAAGTTTTATTTCGCCCCGGCCAACCGGGAGTTCCGAGGGTGTTTGTCTTTTAGGAAGGTTTGGCCACGGCGAAGTCATGGGGACGCTGCAGCGAAGCTGTTCAGGTGAGCGAGGTTTCCCTCTCGGGAAGGCCTCGCCGCGGCGAATGTTTTCTGGGTGAGCGAGAGTTTCCTCTCGGGAAGCTTTTGCCGTGGTGAAGATTGGAGTTCATCGTGGCGAAGTCAAGTTTTCAAGCGAGTAATCCCTCTCGGGATTAGTTCGCCACGTCGAAGTTCTGGGTTCGCCGCGGCGAAAGGTGTCGAATCTATATAGTCGCTGGAGGGGTCAGATGTGCGAAAATTAGAAAATCTGAAGGAGGAGAGAGAAGCTCTGCTAGGGTTTCGGTTTTGTGGCTTGGGAAAGACATTTCTAATGATCCATTACCTCAAGTAAGTGATTTTAACTTCTAATCTACTTTCTTTCTTGGAATTTCTGAGGATTCATGGTGAAACCCTAGAGTTTTCTAGGTTGATATGAAATTGAGGTTTTTGACTGATTGTTTTGAGTTTAATTGATTGCTTTGGGTTAGTCTAAGTATTTAATCGGTGTAGTTCTCTTGGATTTGAAGAACTTTGAGTTTTTGAAATTAGGGTTATGGAAATAGGAGGTTTGTGATTGAGGATGATAATGTGGAGGTTGATTTTGAGTTTTGTGAATTGGGTTATGTTAAGGAGGGTTAAATTGGATGTTTAATCGGTTTAGAATGTTGTTAGGACTTCAATTGTTCAAATGGGATGTTTGGGTGTTGAATTCCTATAGTGGGTCCTTGAGGTTTGAATCCTAAATTGATACTCGGAGAGGAATTAAGGTTTTAATGGATTTTTTATAACTTTGGAGTGTGCTTTGATGGTTATACCCTCGTTAGTTGGGTAGAGTTTTAGTTGGAGTTAGGAATTTTGTGTCCCCAAGTGTTGTTTTGGCCACATTATTAGTTGAAAGCTAATACATGGTGGTTGTGTGTTTGTGTGCTTGTGTAGACCGGTTGTGAGCCTTGTTGGTGCATGGGGCCGTCTTATTGGTTTGTTATTCCTTGCTCAGGTGAGAGGTAACCACTTTCCAATCCTTTGTACATGCTTTTGTTGTATTGTGGGTGAATTTATGTTTTGTGCTCCGGATAACAAATGTGTTCAAAGTGTATGTCGTATATTGAAAAAGAAAACCGTCTTGTGGGCTTTAAATTGATATTGATTGAATTTGTAACTTGTGAAAGATAGGCCACTGAAAGAAGTTAATTGTGAAAGGATTATTTACTCTTTGATTATGGTTTGAACATGATGTATGAATTGGGAATTGGTGAGAGTTTTGATTGTTACTACCACGTGGTAAGGCCTCCATTAATGCATGATGGTTGGCTCTTTACGTCCCCCAAAGTGAGGGATAGGCCTTTTGGCTCCCTACGTTCCCCCGGAATGAGGGACAGGCCTTTTATAGCTCCTTACGTCCCCCATAGCGAGAGATAGGCCGGCTTCGGCTCTTGAAAATCTCCCAAAGTAAGGAATATAGTTGATGGGATTGCATCATTGCGCTTGCATTACTTGTTGTGGCTATCATTTATAATATTACTTGTGAACTGCCCCACTTGACACCTCACGAGCACCTATTTAGTAGTACCTTGAATTGGAAAGGTTGGTTACTGGGACTTTGTCTCACCCCATGGTTTACAATGTTTTCAGGTGAGGGTTCTAGGCGTGTGCCTTCGGGAAGAGACGCAAAGGCTTGAGCTTGGTTAGCTTTAGGCTTCTAGCTTTTGTTTATGTATGGCTAGTAGTATATTGCCACGTTTGGAGCCCGTTTGAAATATTTCAATTGTTGGTCTTATTGTAACTTGGAGGAATTGTTATCTCCTTATTTTGGTTGGCCGGAGGCCATTCCTAGTGTCTTATAAAACTTTGATTTATTTCATTGGAAACGTCTTAAATGAGCTGATGTAGATGTCTTTTGTTACCCGGGCCGGAGACTCCGAGGCCTAGTGGATGTGAATGAATGATTTTAGTTGCATGCAACGGAGTTTGGGTTTGACCTGAGTTTGAATGTTAATTTCTAAAGTTATGAAATTTCTTTCTACTATGGTAGTTCATTTTAACAGCTTTCCTTTTCTACCATAGTAGTAATTTTATGACGAGTTTATAATGTTTTGAGGTTAAGAGTTTTACAAATTGGTACTCAGAGCCAGTTCGTTTCTTTGAAATTGTTTCTTTTCCTAGTGGCAATATACATACTTCATACATACCTTCCCTGTTTGTTTTGTGTTTCCTTTCTTTTCTTTACTAATGAGGGTTTCCATCCTTAGTTGGGGAGAGGAAGGATGGTACAGACACGTCAGACAGATCCAGTTGGTAATGGACCGCCTCAAGAGAATGAGGCCTTTCTGAGACAAATGAGGGAGATGATGACGGCGGTGGTAGGTGAAAGGTTGAGAAAGTTTGAAGAAGACTTCACGAGGAAGCATCAAGAGTCGGTCAATCAAGAGGACCGAGAGAACGA